GTTGCATGGTTGTAATAATTCTCATAAATTTGTTGGCGACTCGTGATCGCCAAGGTATTATTTTAAACCCAATATTGATATGCTAGTTGGCTTTGTTTTGGCTATGTTATAATTTATTAAATCGCCAATTTTGGATCTCCTACCCATGCTTCTGTGTCCGTTGGGAACAAATTACATGTACTTTTTAATTTGGCTTTTGATTAGGCAGGTTGTGGGGGATTTATCTCCCATGGCCTGTCCTTATTAATATTATTATGCAAAATTGATTCAACTGAAATTCTTATGGATAATATTTATATTTGGTACCTCGAGCTCTGCAAATATATGAAATAAAAGCTTTTTATTAATTCTGATCCGGTTCAAGTATTATTTTCATCACTACTATCTTCAACTGGCCCACTATACCCATACAAACTCCACCCACACCTTAATATTCCACCATCTCAACAAAAATGGCACCCTAAATCTTCCTTCTGCATAAATATTAAAAGTTTTGTTGGAGTGGGAAACGGCGGGTCAGTTATTTTAACGTAAAAGGTCAGGAAAAACCTGCAAAAGTCAGGATATTGTTTTATCAAAATAGTGAAGGAACCCTGATGTTTTAAAAAAATCTAATCTTTCAGCAATTTGTGTATTTTACTAAGCATGCGATATAGATTTTTGAATTGCCCGTGGCAGAAGTGATGATTGTCTCTGGCACATCAAATGTTCTGACTGTTATCTCAAAAAGATTAATGCAAAATCTTTGTGTTCAGAGCTCATTTGTAAACTTTAATGATTTGAAGCAAGTTTGAGGCTCTTTTTGTTAAGTGCTTTACCTCTTTTCACAATATCAAGTGTTTTCTCGCAAGCAGAAGCTCCTCTTATGCATACAGCACTTGTTTCTCTTTAAACACAGAATGTTTGTGGAGGTTTATATTAAACCATCGTTCATTGATGTTTTTAAGCTTAATTTTTTACATTGAAAGATGCAGAGAAAAGATTTAGTTATTGTTTACAAAACTAAGTAATTTAATGAAAATTTATCTTGTAAATTACAAAAAAAAGATTTTTTTTATAGGTGCTTGTGTGTTGAACAATTAACTCAATAATTAAGCATGCAGGTCACAAGAAAGAATTGTAACAACATACCTAGGTGGAGACTGAAACTAGACTAGTATTTTATTTACACAAAGGAGAGACTGCATTCATGACAACACGACTGCCATCTACATTAGCATTTGTGCTGCTATCTATAGACAAACATATTAAACTAACACATTTAATATGTGTTTTATGTAAAAGCTGTCTTTAAATTTTTTATTTTATTTAGTGATGTTTAATGAGCCAGACATGTGTAAACGTGAGACTGAGTTAACTTATCAAATGTATCAACTTAATGAAGATTTAGCAAATTCTAGTTGAGAGCCCAATGCTTGGTGTAAGATTCAAAATAGGAAAGATAATCAAGCAATTAAATATAGTGTTTTTCAAATGACAAGGCTTAAAAATTTCTTGGTTATTAGAATTTTTAGCTTGGTTAAAAAAATCAAATGAGTTTCAATCTAATTTAGATCATGACAATTAAGAATTGCTGATTTAGAAATTCAAATTTTCCAATAGTTTTTGGAAGATTTTATCAAAGATATGTAAAATCTATGTGCTTCCTTAAAATCTTGAATTTGCATTAGGCTAATTTTCTGCTTATTTTGATTTTAATTAAATTTTATGAAAATCTGTTCTATTGATGAGGACAGTTTTAAGTAGTTTTCTGTGATGTGTGAAAATAAAAAAAATTTAAGCAATTTCTTACTTTTTAATTTGTTACACATGCAAATTTGTTTTTAAATATGTAAATATTCAATTTTTTTAAGTCTTATATTAAATTGTAAAACGCAGGTTTAGTAATTTTAATTTTTGTATACCTTCATAAATTTTAACAGCATGTTTATAATTTGCAATGCAGAATAATCTACTTTTGTATTTCTAGATGTAAGCATTCCTGTTTTGACTCCTGGAGCACCACCTGTTGTCATACCTGCAGGTCAGGATGTACTTGTACTGAGAACTCCGAAAGGCGTTTATCTCAGACTGCCAGATGGCCGTATAATTGCTGTACAATTGCCGCCTAGTTTACTTGCTAAAACTCAGTTCAGACCAAATGTCGTCACTCATTTCAGGCCTGCAAATCCCAAAGGTGAACTTTTTTTAAATTTATTTTTACAAAATTTTACCAACAGTGGATTTGTTTGATGCAGCTTTTGATGTCACTTATAAAATTTTTGTAAACTGTAATTCAGGCAAACTAAGTAATTTTGTTTGATGTAACACAACTAATTAATCAAATTGCAGATCAAGAAACTTTTGTATCTTAAATGAAGTTAAAATAAATGCAAGAAATAAAAAATCCTTAGTTCAACAAAAAATGTGAATTAATAAAACTTTTTAATTTTAACACAGTGATTGTTTAATCATCTAGACTGAACTAAAAAGGTATGATTGTCCTATTTGTAATTTAGGAAAATATGATAGGTTACAAAGAAAAAAAATCTTTTTACTGCTTAAAATTTAAGCTTTAAGAGTGTATGAAAATTTCTTACATGAAGATCTTTTGGTTTTCTAACCTTAAAAGGAAATTTTGATTTTGAAACAAAAAGAGTAACATTTTAAAAAGAGCAAGAATATTGCTGCTAGAATATTCTTTCTAGAATATTGCTGCAAACATATATCAGATAATGTTTAGTCATAATCTGCTTAGCTTTGTAAATAATTAATTACCGTAATTCTTTATTCTGAAACTCATTCTATTTTGTACCACAACTAAGAAGAGATTAAAATTCTTTGATTTCTCTCTTCAATACCAGATTATTTTTCCTTCACAATTGCTAAGCAGCAGACATTTCAGAAGAAAAATTTTGTCTAAGTACTGTTATATTCTATGTTAATTTATAATACATTCAATTTTTTTTATTATTATTATTTTATTCATTTACTAGATGCTTTTATTTTTAGGTGGAAATGCTTCCCCTACAGTGATAAATACTCCTCGAGGACAAAGCATTGGTGTAAGTTGTTAATTATTATTATAACAGGGTGGCAATCTGAAAGAGTTCAAAAACTCCATAACAATTCCCAAAATCAAGAAAAGTATTTACAGTAGAGCCTAAATTATCCAATGTAATTTGAACCAAATGTAGTGAAACTCTCCACTATTATGTTCTGTGAAAAAAAATCAGTTGAGTCAAAGGTTGGTCATTCAAAGAACTTTAAATGTTGGATTTCAAGGAACAATTTACCCTATTGGCAAATTAATTAAATTTTAATCTAAAAAAAAAACATTTTACATAATTGTTTTTATTGTTATTTAATACTTTAGTAATTTCCAAAATATAACCTGTGCCTCTCTTTCTCAGGGGTGTAAAAAAATTTTGACCTATAAACCACATCACTGCATAATATGTCTAAAATATACATAATTTTTTTTAAAAAAAAGAATCTGACTTCACTTTAAAAGCCGACTAGGAAATGTTTCAAAGCAAAACTCACAAAATTCCATAAATTTTTTACAGGTGTTAGAAAATAAGATTATGGAGTTTGCAGATATATCCAAGATATATTATATCCAAAAAATAAGCTGCTAATTTGCATTAGGAGAGGAGTAAAATAATATTGAAAATCTAGCTTTTGGTTACCAAACTCATACAGTTATCAATACTTGTTGATTTTTCATTTTTGATTGAAAAAAATAATTAAAGAAAAGTGCAATGAGTTTCGAAGACTTTATACTGAATATACAAATGAAATAATTAAAAACCAATCTTCAATACCACAGGGTTGCCGCAGACTATTAAATGCAACTATTTGCTACTATTTTCGGCCTTAGGACTTTGGCGACTTTTTTTTGCCTGAAAAGGCTTAAAAAGCAACTATTAGGAGACTTAGTGAAGTTTTTTCGCAAAAATGAATGCTGCTTTTCAGAACGTTAATAAAAGAAGGCAAACTTTTATACAATCATTTATGTCCAAAAAGCCAAAAATTTAAATATCCATTATATTTAATAAAGTATTTTTTATATTTTCTCTCTGAGGGGCAATTTTGTTATTTTTAATTGTTTTTTCCTTCTATTAACATTCATTTTTTATTGTAATTCGACTTTTATTTAGGTACCTATTTTCTAATATGTATACCTTTTGCATTTGTACAAAACTTTTTTTTAATTGGAGCATAGTTAAGACTGGGCGATAAATTGATGTTTCGCGAAATATTGATTTAACGGATATATTGGTAGGCCGATGTAGTGACTTTCGTTTTAGGCGATGCATCAGAAATCTGATTTAAGCCGCCGGTATAAGACAACAATCACGGTNTACCTTTTATATTTGTACAAAACTTTTTTTTTTTAATTGGAGCATAGTTAGGACTGGGCTATAAAACGATGTATTGTGAAACATCGATTTAACGCATAAACCAGTAGGCCGATGTAGTGACTTTCGTTTTAGGCGATGCATCAGAAATCTGATTTAAGCCGCCGGAATAAGACTACAATCGCGGTTTAATGATTTAATATGCAAGGAGCCTTGACTAGGCTAACGCTGTTACCGAACTGACAAAGACGATTTTGATTTCGTCTAGCTGCAGAGATGTTGATTTCGTTTTGCTATAAAGATGATGTTAGTTTCGTGATATTGAATGACAAAGAGCGAATTGAATCAGAACTTCCGGTTTCATGCGAGGATCAGCGCTGTAATATAGAACTCAATGCATAGTTTCTTTAGGTCCATTTTTTACTTTGGGGATTTTGTGTTTTTTGAAGATTATTTTCAATGGGACTAAGTCATTTTGCAATCGTTGTGCATTTTATTTCGTTGGAAATAATTGTCGGGTTTCTTGTAAATTATTTTCAGTGAGACTTTTGCTACTTAGCGATCGTTTCGTTCTGCATTATTTCATACCATTTTTAATCTGTCTGGATTTAACGATTCATGTCAATTTTTTTTACTAGACCTGTTACTTTGCGATTGCTGCACAATCACTGTTATCTTAAATTTTCTTTCTGAACTCAATAGATCAATGAAAAGAAAATATAAATAAAAAAAAGATTCTTCATTGATTTTTTTCAATTATTGTTTTTCATTTTAAGCGATACAATTTAATAGGCATATTTTGTATTTAACTTTGTCATAAGAAGCTAGTTTTTTTAAAAAATTTAGTAAATTTAGGTAATCATAATAATTTGATTATTTTTAAACCAATAAATGTTAAGTCATTTTTAATTATAAAAAAAATTAAAACAAAGCTTACCTTTATTTAATTTGCTTTTATTTTTGATAAATTGAAGACAAAGTTTTAAAAAAGTTTGACTATTAGTTGAAAAAACAAATAATTTTTTTTAAAAATTAAATAAAGAGTTTAGTAATGTTTTGACGCTTTTTAATAATTTAACATTAGTACTTAAATATTTTTTTTTAATTTTTATTAAAATTCTTTCAATACTTGTTTGTTTTACAATTTGTTAGATAGTCAGTATCTTTTTTAAACAAATAAATCTTTAGTCGATTTTATTTTCAAAAAAGAAAATAATAAGTAAGTAAAAATATTTTTACATTTATTAAGTACAGAATTTGACCATTAGTTAATACTACTTTTTATCATTTTAAATAATTAAATGAAAAAGGGTCTAATGATGTTTCAAAAGCATGTGTTTTTTTTTTCAACAAATAATTTAAAAAAAAATTTTTTTCTAAAGTAAACATTTCTTTGGTTTGTTTTCCACTTTCGTTTTCTTTCTTCTTTTAATTTTTAATGCATGTATGTAAAATAATTTGTTACAGTATTATTATTTTTAAACCAATAAATCTTAAATCATTTTTAATTTAAGAAAAATGAAATAAAGCTGGGGTTTGCTTTTACTTTAACTTCTTTATTAATTTAATTGAAAAAATTAAGCAATGATATTGATGTCATAGTAGAATATGTTTAGAATTAATATTTTCTTTTGTAATAGATTTATCCTTTTTATTTATTTTTGATTGATTTTAAGATTTCCCATAGGTAATTTTTGAACATATGCTAAATCGCGATGTCTAACGGACGATGTATCACGATTTAAAATTTGCGGCATCACCTAGTCCTGATCATAGTATTTGACAATTGAGCTATAATTTTAGTTATTTGGCTACTATTTTTGATACATTTTTGTTCCTGTTCAGGCAACTATTTTCATAGCTTTAGGCAACTATTTTCATAGCTTTAGGCAACTATTTTCATAGTTTTAGGCAACTATTTTCATGCTTGAGGCTGCTAAAAGCAACTATTTTTGTTCATTTTTTATTTTCGCAACCCTGATACCATCATATCACTTGGAAAATAGTGAATATATTTTATCTGTATAGTCCGCAAAGAAAAAAAAGATATCACCCTGAATAACTTTTGTTCTAATGATCGGATTTTCACAAACTAAGTGTCACTCTTAATCGTTCCTGGGGGTGACCTTGAAATATGCTAACTAATTAGTGCTAACTATTAATTAAGTTACGAAATCAGACACAAAAACGCACTTTCTCTGAATAAACATATAATTTTTTTTACATATTTGGATTCTTTATCTTCAAAATATAGGGGGCAGCCGCAATCTGGGAAATGTGGTCCCCATAGTTTGGTCAGGAGAGCGATCCAAAGTTCGTACCCCTTAATGTTAATTTCGCTTTTTGCGTTTTCAGTCATATTTTCAAAACTAATGAAGCAATTCAAAAAAAATTGCACCCACTCATAAAACTCATTTACCCAAAGATAATTTCATGCAAAAAATTATTTTTAGTAAATATTCATTATTTATTATTATTTAATTTATTAATGGTCGAAAATTGTTGAGTTTTAAGGCTTACAATTTTTTGCATAGTTTTAAAGAATTTATTTTGCATGGCAAAATACAAAATGTAAGCAAAAGTGGTCAAATAACTCTTGAGAAATTGAATTTTAAGTGTCAGACTTTCTTGAAATTCAATTTCGGAGGAACTATTCAACCGGTCTTGCACAAATTATGTATTTTGTCATGTAAAATTGCGTTCTTTGAAATGATGTAAAAAATTTGATGCCTTACAATTCAAAGTTTTTTTCGATCTTCATTGAATAAAACAATAAATATTTACTAAAAGTTATTTTTTTCATGAAATTATCTTTGGATAAACAAAATTTTAAAGGGTGATCAAAAAAATTTTCAATTCGCTTTAAAAGTTCTTGAGATATAGCGAAATAAGCAAAAAGTAAAATTAGCATTAAAGGGTCCAAATTTTGAAACCCTCACCAGACCAAACTATTGGGACCATATTTCCCAGATTGCGAATATTTTGGAGGTCAGAAATCCGAATCCGTCAAAAAAAAGGTATGTTTATTTAGAAAGAATACGTTTTTGTATATGATTTCATAATTTAAAATATCGTTTACACTTATTAATTTATTTGATCAAAATTTATTCAGGGTAGACCGTTTATTTAATTGTTTGTTTTTTTATTTTATGTTTTTTATTTATTTATTTTTGTATTTATTTGTGCAACTTCAGAGATTGATTTTTGGCCATTGCTCTCAGTGTTGTTACAAAAAAATAGTTATATACTTTGCAGCCTAGCAAATGTTTCTGAAAATATTTTTAACAATAGCACTTTAAAGAATCTATTTGAAGCCCTAATTGCAGTATATTATATTTTATCGAAGCTGGTAAACAACAAGCTTGAATACGTAAAGCCTATTCCGAGAAGTCGCGTAAAAATTAGAATTTAGATTTTAATTTTAGCTATTTTTCTAATACTATTGAAAGCTTTTTCCTTCGTAATAAACACATATATTGTAATAATGTGTTGCTCAACAAATTATTGCAATATATTTGTTTATTGATTTTAAAAAATTTAAATTGGAGTTTGCAAATTTAACTTGCATTTTATTATAATCGTAATAATTTATCTCTAACCATTCTGCATTTTTAACACCAATCGAAATTTCAAATTTTCATCTCAGAAATAAATCTAAATTTTCCATTGCAAATATTGCTTTCATGACTTTAAAAATTATGTTTCAAAAAATATATATTACGAAGAAGAACTATCTTTCCTTTTAGAAATTTAAAGATTGAAGTGTTTCTAGTTTCTTATCAAACTGAATTTGTTTAATGAGTTTTATTTTTTAGATCAATTTGAAAGATTTTCTTCAACAATCTTTTCAA